GACATGTGCGCAGATGGTCAAAATCCGGTTTTCAGGCATTCCCTTGATAGTTAGGGTTGCGCACACCCCGGAAAAAGCAGCTTCGCTGTCCCCGCCTGAAAAGAGTTATGGTATGGTTAGGTACTTTTTAAATTTTTCATATCACCCTTTTTTGGCCCTAAGGGTTGTTCTTTGGGTAATAAATAATGTCCAACTTGACTGAAATTATAAGGGGGCTATGGGCTGGAATGTTTTTAAATATATTATTATACATATATGTAGTTAGTCGGCAGTGAAAATATCCATGCATGTTTACCTATCATTGATAAAATATAAATGCAAGTCTGAGCTTGTTGTTGTTTTTGCTAAAACGGAAACGCTTATCAGTTATAAGTAAAAATAACCGTGAAATATGATACCCCTGTTTTGTTTATTACTTTCCCACATTAAACGTCGGCGGCGTGCTGATTCATGAATTTATCTTATTCACCACTACGATATCCTGTATTAGAACACAATAAACTTTACTTTATGTAGGCTAGATGGCGCCACCGATAACAGAATGACGTAACCCACGTGTCTCAGGCCGCTATAAGGTCATCACAGAACCTGAACCGTAAATTGAACTTTGCACTATGTACGCTAGATGGCGCCACCGACATACACTGACGTAACACACGTGACCCAGGTCACTATGACGTCATCACAGAACCATAATTTAATATACGTAGCGATTTCGAAACGACATGAAACAATCCCTTCCACGCAAACTTCATATCACAGGAACCTGTAATTACAAGAATTCACCGCACTCACGACAGATGGCGCCATGAGGTTTGACAAGATGGCGCCGACGACGCATCCACCTTCGTGTCAACGACGGCGCATCCACCACGTGTCAAGAATGCTTGATTCTTGAATCCCCTTTGACTATCTACTAACACAACATTTTTATCTAAGTAGTACTGCAATGATGAAAATATTCACATATATGCCTATGACGTAACGCCTGCTCTTATCATTGTCGCAGGTTTAATTGTTTTCTCTGAATGAAAATAGTTTATCAGTATTGCGGCTGGACGGCTCAAGCAGTGTAATTTCCTATGCGACGCGTTTGCCTTATTTTTGTTTTTGTTGGTGAACGTGTTAATATAATTTAGCAATATATTGATGATAGGTAATGAATATTTGAAGCAAAAATACCAGGAAAATCCTTATGAGGAAAACTCAAGACGGAATTATTTTTGTAGAGAAATATTTGTAAAAATGAGTCATGGGTCTAAGTCATGTTGACAATAAAAGTCACTCGAACTAGCGGCGATTTTGATTTAAATACTAGCTAAAACGTTGATGATTTAAATAATATTTTAAAAAAAATCGGCTGATTGTCGCTGGTTTCTTATATTGAGACGAGAGACCTCAGCCTTCTGATTGATTAGAGACTTGTTAGGACTTGCTTATCGCAGGATGCCAACGTACTAAGCAACAATAAAATTGAAACGATGGCCCATATTTCTAGGAAAAGTTCGCTGGTCTGTGCAGATGGATACGAAGCTGGTGATTGGCTACTACTAGTCAGAGCTTGTTTATCGCAGGTCACAGGAAAGTAACAAGTTATGGTTTCGCTGCGGTTGCAATAAACGTTGACGACGCGATAGCGAAACGACGTTTTTATTATAAATTACGTCGTCATCAGACCCGATGACGAAACGACGTTTTTATTATTAGTTACGTCATCATCAGTACAATGCACCTTGCATGAGGTACGAAGTCATGAGGTTCTATGTGTGTTCGATGAGCCGCTTGGAGTCAGGTACGGTCAATGACCCTGAACGCAGCGGCGGCTGACGCGACCAATAAAAGACATGGGCACTGGAAAGGGGGCGGGGCTTAGCGCCAACGACTGCTGGCGGGCTGGACGGATGACCTTGAACGGTACAAAAATTGCCAGAACGGACCTTAGATTTTCTTATGGAGATTTACATGGGAAAATGACTGATTTTGCGCTCGAACTGTCATAGCTCCTTTACTTACGGCAATGACAGGGATTATCATAATTGACATGAAATCCTTTGTAGAGAAAATACTGATTTTCCTACGAGCGTGCGGTAAAGTACCCTTTACCGCACTCATCTGCGTCTCGTAGGGAGTACTTTACCGCACTAGGGCGGTAAAAATTCTTTACCGCACTCAGTGCTGTAAAAATCCTTTACCGCACTGCCACTAGTCAGCCACCAGTTGCAGTTTATTTTTACCTTGAATTTTTACCTTTTTTCTTCAGTGCGGTAAAAATCCTTTACCGCTCCAGTGCGGTAAAGATTCTTTACCGCACTGTATTAAAATTTTAAAAAAACATGCATTCAAGGTATTCGCATTCGCGTAATCCATAAAATAAAATCATTTATTGTTTTTAACAATCAATATTTGCTACTTTTTATGCATTTTTACTTCTTATTAGATTTTTATTCCAAAAATTATTTGCTTGAAGGAAATTTTTTTTACCTAACACGTGCGTAAAGTGACTTTACCGCCCTTGACGGCTTGCCCGAACTCCGCTTCGCGTCGTTTGTGCAACTGCCGTCGCGTGCGGTAAAGGACCACTTTCCGCATTTGTTAGGTAAATAACTATTACGCAAAATAGCGAAAAATTACACGACCTGTCATTCGGGTGTCCCACTTTCTAATCTCATGATTGTAACTAAATTAGGTTTTTTAGGTATTTGTTACAAAAGTAGCTATTTTTGCTCGATTGACATAAAAACAGATGCCTTTGGTTTTAGCTTAAAAAAAATTTCTACTACCGTGCGTAAAGTACTTAGTACTTACTTAACGCACTGTTCAAAAGACGTTGAATTAGATTTCACGCACTATTACGTGAATAAGTAATTCGGCAACAACAATGAGATTTTCATGGCATCAATTGAAATTGATGGAAAATTTTCTTGCCTCGACTAGAATTTGAACCCAGGACCCTCGCATATCTAGTACAAAGCTCTTATACCAACTGAGCTAACAAGACCTGTTTCATTTCTGCCTTGTCCGTCAAGTCTCTCATCCATTTTTAGTCTGCATGCAAAGAAAATCCAACACACTGTTTTTAAATTATATAACAAACGATAAAAATTTTATATTATCAAAGCCTTTACTGCCCTTTTTCTGCATTAGAAATGTGATTTTACTTTACACCTAAGGTTGTGGACTGAGTTATTTTAGACACTAGGGCGTAAAGTTGTGGTTGGTATATTTTTTTCAAATTTAATGGCATTCCGGAGTTATGATCTATAACGCCCGCTCATAATATTGTCGGTAGTAGAAAAAAATTTGTATAATTTTTTTCACACATTTGTGTAAAAAGGTTCACTTCGCACACCTGTTTTATGCAAAAAAAATTCTATTGCCAACAATGTGAAGCCATGAATATGAAAAAATATACCACAACTTTACGCCCTAGTATCTAAAATAACTTAGTTCACAACCCAGGGTGTAAAGTAAAACCAAATTTTTAGTGCAGAAGAAGGGGATGTGGATATTTATTCATTTTTGGGAAGAAACTAAATAATACAATTTAATAAAAAAATTTGTTGTTGCAAATTACTTTACGCATTAGTTCGTGAAATTTAATTTTACGTCATTTAAAAAATGCATAAAGTAAGTACTTTACGCACGGTAGTAGAAAAAAGAAAATTTGTAAGCTTAAACCAAAAGCAACTGTTTTTATGTCAGTCGAGCAAAAAATCAAGTTTTCACATCCTGCATAAGTTTTTTTTTTTTTGGATTCTCAAGTTCTTTTCGACTATATCTCCCCACTCCCAACTACTCAACCTATGAAAAACTCAAAAATTGTTTCAAAATCAGAAAAAAAGCGCATATTTTCGAGATTTCTTTGCTAAGAAGCACCTACGGTTCAGAGAAAATTGATGAAAAACAAATCGATTTTTTTTCCTATTTTTTTTTTTTTTTTTGACAGAAATATTACCTGTCAAAATGATTTCATATTTTCATGTCATTCAGTGGCGTGTCCAGACTTTACCAGACGGGGAAGCTGTGGGGAAAGATGGTGAAAGTACAGGACAGAAGAGACAATTCATCATTCAGTCAGCCATTCACAAGTTTCATATATTTCTTTTTGAAAATGTCTACATAAAGTTTAGTTTAGTGTTCTTAATAAATCCTCGAGGGGAAGCTGTGCTTCCCTAGCTTACATGGTAAACACGCCACTGAGTGTCATTCTTGAGGGCGAATTCTCATGAGCGTAAGTTGACATTTCTGGCGTAATCACGTGATAATATGGTGTAATTTGATTGGTAAAATCTCAAACATGTCAAATATTTTTCCAATAAAACCCAACCATTTTATCACGTGATTACGCCAGAAATGTCAACTTACGCTCATGAGAATTCGCCCTTAGTCAAAAAGAAAGTTTTTTTTTTTTTTTACTTGACGAAAATCGGTTAATGATGAAGTTACGATTTTTTCCAAGAATAGCACCAGCCGCCATCTTCAATTCATCATGGCGGAAAAAGCAAGCCTCCTAGGAGGTGTAACTTTTTTTTACAGAGTACTATTGACGGGTACTATCATCTGTGAAAAAATCAGCTTGATTGCAAAAACTTCTCCTAAAGGCCATTTTTTCAGCTAACTGCCCTGGCCTATTATTTTATTTTTGAACTAGAAGGTCCGCTGCGCATAAAACGTAATAAGTATTTTGGGCGTTGAGTATCGTTAATCACACCTTCGGGCGGTATACATACATATAACACTTTCCGCCATTAATACCTAAATAACTATTAACTATCTACCAAAAGTAGCTTAAGTAGCTTGTTTTAGTAGCTAGCTACTTTTCACAGTAGCTTATGAATACTTGAAACACATTACCAAAAGCTACAGCTACAAGCTACTTTTTTTTTCAAAGTAGGTTGAATCACTTATTAGCTACCAAAAAAGTAGCTAAGCTAGTAGCTTAATTACTTGGTAGCTAGCTACTGCCCAGCTCTGGTACTAGTATACACAATGTTTTTCAGATCCTAGCAAAGATCCAATAGCAAGAAAAATGAGGCTTAGGCGAGGTCGGAGAGATCATGAGGAAGCTGATCAAGATCAAGCTAAAATTTTAAAGGTAAAAAAATTAATAATATGCATATTGTTTGCCCAGCGGATCTGAGTCTACGGAAGAAATTCGGACGTAAATGTGCTATGTTGCCACGTTTAATTATAAAAAAGCGAAAATACTAGGCATGAACTATAGTTAATTTGAAAATCTATTTTTTAATAACAAAATCTTGATAACAATAATAAAACGCTAAATATTTTAACGTGGTTGTTAGGTCTATCTTTATTTTAATCCTGATTTTTTCAATTTGGTCTATTGTAAAAAATAAACATTTTCTAAAGATACCATCAGCCTTTGACAATTTGGCAAGCATCCGTCCTGGATGAACCTGATTGGTGGAGTTTTTGGCAGGATCGCCGTTGTCATGGGGAACCATAAGGTTGTCAATGAGCTAACGTCACCTTACGTCTCGCTATTGGCCAGGGCTCACGTCATTTTATCCTCCCATCTTGGAATATCAGTTTATATTGAAATATCCAGTGGCGGAGATTTGGTCATTGCTGATTTTCGTCTACGAGTTGCAATACGATAACACCTCCAAAAAGTTCCACACGCAGCTGGGTATTTTATGAATGAAATCAGCCATTTTTTTTTTACAACTGCATTCCCCTTACTGTTGCCCCGTAGACACAGATTCGCTGGGCAGACATTAGTAACTTTTTTTTAATAATAGTAGGTGTACTAGCTAATCAGTGGACTGTATTTTAAAAATTATCAAAATCGATATGTGGCAAAACCAATAAAGGACTTACCCCGAAACTGCGCGGGTTTTAAGCACTAAAAATAATTGATTCTGGTTTGATTGCCGGCAAAATAGTTCTCTCTTTTCGGACAGCGACAGCCCATATTTTCGGCTATTGAATATCCAGTTCCTTCAATCAAGAGCGCGCGCTTGCTCTTTTTTACGGTACCGCGCGAGAGTCCATGGAAGTGCCATTCTCACGCGCAAATAAGTATTTAGATTTAAACTTTAAATTTATTTATTTATTTATTGGATTCTTTACAAACACCATAAATGGTAATTACATGTAAAGTTACTTACTACTACAAACAAACTAACAACCTAAGCCTACAAGAAAAAAGAAAACAAGAACAAATTCATATCACAGCCTTCAAATTTTTGAGACTAGTATTAAACAAGTCTGTTTGGACCTCACTGAGAATCTCATTTGTTATTAACATTATTTTATTAAAAGGATATATACTATTGGGATCTGCACTAAATAGTTTTTGATTATTTGGTATTCTTAAATTAATCTTTGGTACAGTAAAATTTATATAATTAATTAGGTTACAGTCTTTGTACTTTATGTTATTTAAAATATAGTAAAGATATATCACAGCTTGTTGTCGTCTTCTTTGTAAAAGAGATCTGAAATTGAAACTATCCAACATAGATCTATACGAAACTTTTAAGGGATATGTGTTGTTTTTTAAAACATAAAGGTAACACAAGAACCTTTTTTGAACCTTCTCAATACAATCAATATGTGTGGCCTCCAATGGCATCCAAATTTGTGACGCATATTCTAAATGTGGCCTCACCAGAGCATTATACAACCTGATTATTGTGGAGATACCAAATTCCTTTGTATTTCTTATCAAGAAACCCAGAGCCTTAATGGATTTATTTTTCATGTGACAAAAATGACTATTAAATTTTAAATTTGATTGAAAGAAAACTCCCAAATCCTTCACTTCACTTTCACGCTTCATTATGACATCAAAAACTTTGTAGTTATGAGAAATAGGATTGATCTTCCTAGTAAATGTTAGAACTGAACATTTTTTTATATTGAGGAACATTTTGTTATCAGAAAACCATTTAATTACTCTATCAATATGAAGCTGGAGCAAATCGCAATCTCTTCTCGTTTTTATAACTCTATAAGGTTTGAAGTCGTCAGCAAAAAGTAGTCCTGTGGAGTTTGAGAGACACTCTGGCAATGAATTAATGAAATACAAAAAAAGTAAAGGTCCCAAATTGCTTCCCTGTGGCAAGCCTGAGGTGGCAATGAAGGAATTTAAGACATATACAGTGTGTCCCGCTTTTCATGAATACACCCCGATATCTCAGTTATTATTGATGCAATTTTATTCAAATTTTGGTGGTGATTGTATGTAGAAAAATGAACTATTTGACATAGTAAACATTTTCATTTACCAGTGGCGTTCGGCGTTGGGGGAAAAAAAAGGGGTTGTATTTTTGGGAAAAAGATATTAGGGCTTATTTAAGATAATTTTTCGTATCAGATTAAGAATCAGCATCCCCAAAAACCCCTTAATTTATATTTTCAAAATCTCAAAAGATGATTTTAGCAAAAAAATAAATAAATTTATGTTAATTTACTTTTTGTAATAAGCTGTTTATTTCTAATTAGAAGGTATCTATGTTGAAAATACAATATTCTAAAATAATGTCATCTGTAATTTGGTCATCATAATAGACCGATCTCCTATTACCATTGCCTATTACGGACTGCGCGCGTCGCTTGTAGGCTGCAGGTGAGCGTCCAATGAGAAGCAAGTTTGTTACAGGCTTGCGTCATATTCTTATTCAGGGATCAATTCAGAATGAATCGTTCCTTCTTTCTTTGCAACGTATAATTCGACAAAGAGCAAACTAATACTTTACATATTACTTGAAGTCACCGCAGTGTCGTTTAAGGTTATGTTAGATTAAACTTGACATATCCCTTTGCAATGGTATATAATATTGACAGTTGAGTTGAAGAGGGCGCTTCTGTACTTGGAGCTATTTAAATTTTGGCGCGTAAATATTCGATTGTAATTTTAACCTTAAAAGTTTAGTCTGTGTGTGTGGTTCCAAGACAAACTGACGCTGACACTTTTAAAATTATTCTCAAAGGGCCACTGAACGCTTTCGAAGATACTTTAACTTATTTATTGTCCATTGTTCATATGTAGTCATCTTTCCTTCTACTCAATTTAAACGGTTTAAAACTATTGACATTTACCGCCAAAATTTGAAGCACTCCAAGTTCACTCGCGCCCTCTACAAAATTCTGGGGAACTTAACTGGATATTTGCTGCCATTTCATTGTACGATGTTGCCAGATGAAACATTTATCAAAATTAAAGTGCAAACGATGTTAACATACTGTGATGATTCGCCAGGCTGTCAATAATCTCTCGGTATTATCTCTTGAGTATACTAGAATCTAGCGAATTATTCTACTTAATTCGGGAAAATAAGATTATCGTGCATGTGTATTCTAGATTTTAGAGGTATAGATTTAGGGATATATAAAGGCGACTATTGCTTTGTAGTTTAGTTTTCAGTTCGACTGTGATACGATTTAAATAGTCAATCCAAAGCCTTGACAATACGCTTTTTAAGCTCTTCTTTTGTCTGATTTAAAGCGTTGTAAAACACTTGACACTATATAACTTCTTTAATGTTATAATGTTCGATTTGTATTGTCTACATTTGTTCTGCAACAATACACTCTGGCTACACTGCACCTACGAGTTGCGCGCGCATGTCATCTTCTATTATTTCCTAACTTGTATTTATTACAATTAGGGCGAGTTCTCATGAGCGTAAGTTGACATTTTTGGCGAAATCACGTGATAAAATGGTTGGATTTTATTGGTGAAATATTCGCCATGCTAGAGATTTTACCAATCAAATTACACCTTATTATCACGTGATTACGCCAGAAATGTCAACTCACGCTCATAAGACCTCGCCCTTAAGCTATCTTTTTGTATTTATGTGAGACAGGTCATCTACAAATAAACAACTTACTAGGGAATTAAATATCTATTTTTTAAAAATAAAATCAGCTCTCCAGATTTTGAAAATACATATGAATTAAGGGGTTTTTGGGGATGCTGAATTTTAATAGGCCCTAAAATATTTTTTTCCAAAAATAGAACCCTTTTTCACTAAATTCACTCCCCAACACTGCACGCCAATGGTAAATAAAAATGTTAACATGTCAAATAGTTCATTTTTCTAGCATGCAATCATCACCAAAATTTGAATAAACCCCTCGTTTTTATTCTCATCGGTGACTTCACCGATGAGTTAGCTATCTTTATTTAGTGAATGGAAAATGACAATGACAGACATAGAATGGTGGATCCATCGGTAAAATTTGATGAGAATAAAAACGCAGGGAAAAAATTGCATTATCATAATAACTGAGATATCGGCATGTATTCATGAAAAGCGGGACACACTGTATACAAGTTGCGTTTAAATTACCCAAAATTACAATACGATAAAACTTAAGTCCCAAACAGTAGGTATATTCTATAACTGTAGTGAGAAATAAGCAAAAGTCTATACGAGGTTTGTTTAATATATATATATATATATATATAATTTCTAGCGAAGGATAAGTTTCGAGTATATTTTAGAGTCACTTATCAGCTCATAAATAATCAATAGTAATATAACTAGTGCAATGGAAATTATTGATAATTTTTGGGAAATTTGCCCGAATGCATTTTTAGTTGAAAAAGAGCACGAGTGCACGTAGTGCACGAGTGCCTTTTTCAGTTAAAAACGCATGAGTGCAAATTTGTCGAAAATTATAAATAAATTTCCATTGCATGAGTTGTATTTAATGAGAGAATTTCATAAATCAAAAATTGAAATTTTTTGTCAAAAAATGTCAAAACACCAGTTTTCGCACCAGTTACTATATCGCGTAATTACAATCTGATTGGTTCAAATCAACAATCAAAACATGTCAATTTATTGTTGGAATACCAGTTTTGACAGATGTATGAAATTCTCTTTATTATTGTGAATATGTTTTAATTACAATAAATGTTGTCCTATATATTTCTAGGGCATGAAAGATATTGCAAAGGAAAAAAACTTGAGTTCTCAGGAGGAAGTGGCTAAAGCAGAATCATTAAAGTAAGTCCATTTGCATTTCTTAAAAATGTTTGCATAATGTTAAAAATAAGTAGATAAAAACAATGGAAATTAAGCAATCCAAGGTTTATTTCTATAGAAATAACTTGTACTATTATAAGTTTTTTTGAGGTGGTGTTTTTTTTTTTAAATATCTTTGGTTACCATGCAACTATGTTAGAGAGAAAGAAAAAATGTTGTAGTTTTATTTTCCAAAATGCAGTTGGTACAAGAAATAATGAATAAATAAATCAATTGTAATGTAAACAACTGCCTACTATTAAGAATCAAGGAAACACGGAGAAAATCAAGATATATGACAATATAGTATGTATCGCCACCTGGAACGTACGTAGCTTGTTTATGCCAGGGAAGTTGGCAAACACTGATGCTGAGATGAAGAAAATGAATATCAATATACTGGGATTAAGTGAGGTTAGATGGCCTGGTTAGCACAGTCGGTCATAGACTTCATCCCTTTGAGCGATAGAGTGGCTATATTAAAATTACAAACAACTCACAGAGATTTAAATAAAATTCAAATTTATGCTCCAACAAATGACAAACCAGATCAGGAAATCGAAGGATTTTATAACAAAATAGATGAAGTAATGCGGCTCACAAAGAAGGGAGAGATAACGATGATAATTGGAGATTTTAATGGCAAAATTGGCCGTGGTGCTGAGAGGGATAGCATAGTAAAACAACTTACAAACAGACACAGAAAACAAGGAGCAATCTTAAGAGACGATAACAACGAGATAATTCTAGGAGTAGAAGCTAAGCTTGCAAGATGGAAAAAATACATATAAGGTACCTGTCCCAAATAAGGCCACATTAAGAAGTTTTATTTTTTCCTAACATTATCCACCGAACCCAACAAAAATCACAAGCTTATATGTGAAGTGTTTGGCTTCTATTACATGAATATTAACTCCAATTTATTTATTTTCTTATATAAGTGGTGGTTTTTGCGTGAAATAAAGACGCTTACCATTGGCCTTATTTGGATCACTATGCTCCTAATAAGGCCACCATTAAAAAATGTTTAAAATAAATACAATTATTCATAAAAATATTATTATTTGAGAAATAGTATACAAAATAGAACTTATACGTTTGCTGCATTCGTAAAAAAAACATAATTCCAAGTCCCGGGATGGTGATCCATATAGGTCTAAACATACAACTAGAAAAAATGAACCGCAGCATCTCTTGCCTGGTTAGACTCCATCCAAGCTCCAGGCATTTCAAAAAACATCACTTAGGTAATAATATGACACATTCTTTTAAAAAAACACTGTGATGTGAAGCCAATTGAACATTTTTCGTATGATGGCCTTATTAGGAAAATGTTAAATTGATAAAGAAAAGTCTGTAACTAGAGAGCAAGGAAATTCAAATTCTGTACTTACTCTGTAGCTTTCTCAATACATAAATATCCGTTAAAAAATTACAATCGCTCCATTCACTTTGTAAACATGTATATAAGCTAATTGAGTTCTAGCCTTAAAGTTATAACGTGATATATATGAAATATGTGGTTGGCCATCTTTCGACATATGACGAGTTGCTAGAACCCGTGCAATAATTTTTGATTTGTTTTATAGATTTCTTTTTTAATAATATCTTAGTTTTTGAAAATGTGATTCAATATTAAGTAATAAAGGGGACTGGCTTTATTAGGTACATGGCCTTATTTGGGTCAGGTACCTTATATGTATATCGAAAAAAATTTATGATGACAAAAAAGCTTGTTCCCCACCATATCGAATGAAAAGGCTCCAGAAATAACTAGAGGCAAAGTTGTTCATGCAATAAACGCCCAGAAAAACGGAAAAGTTACCGGTCACGATAAAATCAACGTTGAAATACTTGAATTAATTGTAGATAATGAAAGCAGAAGCCTAGATTTAATAACAGCACTGTTTAACAAAATATATAGCTCAAGCAAGATACCGGCAGATTGGCTAAAATCAACATTCGTAACCCTACCAAAGAAACCCAACGCCTCACAATGTGATGACTATCGGGTGATAAGTCTTATGTCCCATGTCCTTGAAACCTTTCTTAGAATCATCCACACGCGAATCTACAAGAAGTGCGAATATCAGATGGACAACACCCAGTTTGGATTCCGGAACAGACTCGGAACGCGTAAAGCACTTTTTTCCCTAAATGTAATGACACAAAGGTGTAGAGACGTGAATGTGAATGTATTTGCATGTTTCATAGACTATCGAAAGGCGTTCGACTGTGTTAATCATCAGAAGATGATCGAAATTCTAAGAACAACCGGAGTTGACGAACAAGACCTACGCTTCATATCAGAACTTTATTGGCATCAAATGGCGGTAGTAGAGATGGAACAATCAACATCGGAAGGTATGCAAATCAGGTGTTCGACAAGGTTGCGTCTTGTCTCCACTCTTGTTTCATCTGTACTCAGAAATTATGTTTAGAGAGGCACTGGATGGGGTCCAGGGAGGAATCAAGATTAATGGAACCCCAATAAACAATATCAGGTACGCCGATGATACGGTTATAATAGCCAACGATGTACAAGAACTACAAAGCAACATGGATTCCGTAGTTCACTATAGCGAAATGTTTGAGTTGCATCTCAATGTTTCCAAGACCAAACTATTGGTCTTTTCTAAGACTCCAATAAATGCACACCTGCGTGTCAAAGGACAAACAATCGAACAAGTCTCAATAAAATATTTGGGAGCTAACATCAATAGCCAGTGCGACCCGAAAAGGGAAATACTTTCAAGGATTGAGCAAGCGAGAAAAATCTTTATGAGTATGAAAACATTTTTTACAAGACTAGGCCTTATCTTGGAACTCAGAATTCGAATGATCAGATGCTACGTTTTCTCTGTCCTACTCTATGGATGTGAAAGCTGGACACTAGATTCATAGACCGAAAAGAGAATAGAAGCCTTCGAAATGTATTTGTATTGACGGATGCTGCGAATTTCATGGGTACAAAGGATCACCAACGATGAAGTACTCCAGCGCATGCACAAACAAAAAGAATTACTGAACACAATCAAGGAAAGAAAAATGCAATATCCGGGTTATGTGATGAGAGGTGATAGATACGAAACACTACGCCTCATATTGGAGGGCAAAATACATGGGAAAAGATCAGTAGGAAGACGCCAGAACTCATGGCTAAAAGATTTAAGGAGATGGTTCGACCGCTCGTCTGCAGAAATCTTTCGAGCTGCAGTTTCCAGAGCTACAATTGCCATTTGGATCGCCAACCTTCGGCAGGAGAGGGCGTGATAAGAAGAAGAATGTAAACAAACTTAACAAACCTGGCAAATCAGAAAAATAATTACGTTTTTAGAATAACTTTATTTCTGAGTTATCCAGGGTTAGTTTATAACTTTCCAAGTTTACACTTTAGCTGTGACATAATATACAACATTCAAAAAAACAATTTCAATTTTCAGGCCTAAGCGTTGGGATGAGTCATTAGAAAAGCCACCTTTGGATTATTCAGAATTCTTCGACGAAGACGCCGGTCAAGTTCCAGGTTTAACAATCTGGGAAATTGAAAATTTTCTGCCTAATCGTATTGAAGAAGTTGCCTATGGTAAATTTTATGAAGGCGATTGTTATATTGTCTTGAAGACAAGTGAAGACGAAAATCAGAGTTTGAGTTGGGAAATATATTTCTGGATTGGAGAAAAAACATCTGTAAGTGTTTGAATTTTAATGAAAGCTAATATTGGATATGGTAGTTTTCCTAATCACTGCGCAAAGTTATGTTTTCCCGAACGACGCGAAGCGGAGTTCGGATAAGCTTTAAGTCTGCACAGTGCGGGAAAGAGTTTCTTTGCGTATGCAAAAGTGTGCGCAAAGTAGCTTCTTGCGATCAATTGTAGAAAAAGTTATTAACCATAATTTATAAGTTAATGTTATTGACCTTATATCAGGAAAAGTGAACGCATAAATAGTCAGCGTAACGTTTCGATATGTTCTAGCTGGATAAAAAAGCATGTTCGGCAATTCACGCTGTAAATTTAAGAAACTATTTAGGAGCTCAATGCAGGACTATAAGGGAAGAACAGGGTGACGAATCAGATGAATTTCTCAATTTGTTCGATACACAAATTACTTACATTCAAGGCGGCAGGACTTCCAGTGGCTTTTATACTGTTGAAGATTTGGTAAGCAATTTTTTATTCTGTGATGAAATAATTATACTATTCGGGAATATTGAAGAGTTGGTTGAGTTATCAGTGACCCATGTTAGCCAATCAGTAGAAGATACTTTAACTTTATTTGGACTTTTTCAGACGTTTGAAACACGGTTGTATAGAATACACGGAGCTGGTCCTTCGATTCATCTAGAACCAGTTGCTATCAGCCCATATTCCTTGGATCCGCGATATGTTTTTATATTAGATAAAGGTAATTATTATATCCAAATTATATGGCGTCCTGTAAATTTAGAGAGGTTGATCTTAATTTATTCACCAAATATAATAGGTGTAATGAAAATGATATTTATACTTTCAATATAAACACAGAGTTTACCGCACTTATTAAAAACTATAATAGTTTTATCGTAAGGAATAAAGTTTGCTCTCATAGGCTTCTCTATACCCCAAACAAAACACTCGAGATTCCGATAATTTAATTGTATAATTCAGATCTTTTTATCGCTTTATAAGGATACCACCTAGCCACTAATCACTAAAAAGTAATACAATATAACAGTTAATTGAACAAAAATTTCATTATCAAAAAAGAAAGCGAGATAACTTTCTATTATTTCTAGTCTATTATTTAGTTTTTCTCTTGTAGGAATGTCAATATTTATTTGGAATGGCAAGAAAGCGAAAAACACTTTGAAGTCAAAGGCCAGACTAATGTGCGAGAAAATCAACAAAAACGAAAGAAAAAACAAAGCCGAAATAAATGGAGAAATTGTGGGTGATGAAAGTAAAGAATTTTGGACTACTTTGGGTTTACCTGAGGGCGTTTCACCACAGGAAGTAGTGACTGTAAAATTTCAAATGCTATTTATTGATGGAATTTTTGAAAATATGTTTTTTTTTACAGGAACATGTTGATCCAGAATTCACGCCAGTGCCTCCCAGGCTATACAAAGTACAACTTGGAATGGGTTATTTAGAATTACCACAAGTCGAGGTGCCTCATGGAAAACTAGTCAATACTTTGTTAGGCAGTAAAAATATTTATATTTTGGATTGTTACTTGGATGTGTTTGTTTGGTAAGAGCTATTGAAGTTTAAATTATGAAATTAATACTTGTTCGACAGAAATTGTACTATTCGATTTCCGTTTTTGTTGTAGGATCGGAAAGAAATCTACAAGATTGGTAAATGCAGCAGCTGTTAAATTATCTGAAGAGCTTTTCAATATGATTGATAGGCCAGACCACGCGCAAGTTACGAGAGTTAGGGAAGGAACTGAGCCACAGGTAACTATAGTGTTATAGTTTCAGTATTTTATGCTATTACTGCAATTAAATACATTTCTCAGGTATTCAAATGTAAATTTGTTGGTTGGGATGAAGTTATAGCTGTTGATTTTACACGCACTGCGGAATCTGTTCAAAAAACTGGTGCTGACTTGACCAAATGGGCTAAACAACAAGAAACCAAGACCGATTTGACAGCTTTGTTTACACCCAGGTATTTTTTTACATAAATACTAATTTGCTTCACCCTGTATACATACAGTACTAAAATGACATTGGTACTAAGTGCCCTTAATACCAAAAAAATATATAGGGTTGGTGTTCTATTTTTCTTCTGTCCCTCCTAGAAGTCCTAGATGATGCTAGTGCTAGTGCTTCCCTAACCAAATTATTGAGAACAATTATAAAAACCATATTTTTAATATTTTCCACTGTTCATTCCCTACCGACATTTGAGGCAATATTCTAGCACCTTATCAAAAGATGGAAGTGGCACGCCTTCCGAAATCAAGAATTTAAGACTACAAGTCTTTTTTGCAAAGAAATATGTTTTAAATTTAGATTTTCATACTCATTTTTGATCATCTCAATATGAGCAAACTCTGCTATCCTTAATTAACCTTGCCAGTAATGGTTAATTTAAAAAGTACAAATTGTTTTGGTGCGGATGGCGAGCGTAGCTAATTTGTTGCTGGAAATTGTGGCTAACTTTATGTACGTCTTGAGATTGTATTTTTTTTTTGGCTTAGTGGGATAGGTCTCTTGGATCAGATGACCAATCTTTCTACAAATGTGCATACATTTTTCACACAGTCTATACTTACTAGAAATAAGTCATCGGCATAACAATGCTGTTTTTTTCCATCTAGGCAACCAACAATGGCTCTACACGAAGCACAACAGCTAATGGACGAATGGAACGAAGATTTAGAAGGAATGGAAGCTTTTGTCCTCGAAGGCAAGAAGTTTGTAAGGTTGCCAGAAGATGAAATGGGTAAAACACTCTTTTTAAATATTGTTCACTTCCTACTTTATTTTTATTTTTTTCAGGTCATTTTTATTCGAAAGATTGCTACGTGTTTCTTTGCCGTTATTGGGTACCTTTGGAAGATGAAGATGCACCCGTGGACGAAATGGACGATATCCCACAGGTTGTTGTGTATTTCTGGCAAGGCAGGGAAGCCTCCAATATGGGCTGGCTAACTTTTACCTTCACCTTGCAGAAGAAATTCAAAGCAGTATTTCAGGTAATTTTTCAACTTTTTATTTATTTATTTAACACATTCGCATTATGGTCATATAATATAATGTAGGTATGTACCTAACTTATCTAAAAAAAGTTTTGCTATAAATAATTTTCTTGTTTTACATCATTGAGTAGTTGAAATACATTATAAATTGAAATATTTCACAAACAATACATATTTCACAGATAAAGATCAATATTCACAATAATTATTGGATTTTAATTTTGATCACAGGACAATCTGGAAGTGGTGAGGACCCACCAACAACAAGAAAACATGAAATTTATGGCACATTTCAAAAGGAAATTCATTATTCATCAGGGCAAAAGGAAAGTGAAGGAGAAAAATGCTGTCGAATTTTATCATTTGAGGTCGAATGGCAGCGCATTGTACACGAGATTGGTACAAATCAGACCTGACGCTTCACTACTTAACTCAGCCTTTTGGTAAGAAACTATAACAATTCATTTTAAAAAACTGATTTGATACAGTGGCGGCTCGTCGTATAAAGCAACTGAGGCCGGACCTCACATGTAAAAATTACAATAATCATGTAAAATTTTGAAATAATATTCATTAAATATTTGACGTTTTTCAACTATTTTCAATCATTAAAAGAATCAAAACATCGAATTTTCATTAAAATATAATACTATTTCTTGAATTTAGCGCGTGCTTCTACCTATTTATCTTTATAGGCGCTCAAATCGTTGCCGGACAGCATTAAAATAAAATAGCAATCCCAAAAATTTTGGCCTCATGTGCGTCGCAGAACGCCGAAGCGATGCCACGGCAATCCCCACCACAACCCTTCAACTGTAGGTGAGACGATAGCGAATTTTCATAGGCATTGAGGCGCACAATTCTGGGCTTGTTAATAAGAAACCTTGCATCTCTTGCTGCTGCGACAAGTATTTAATTGGTTAATTGGCTCATACTTTTTATTTTGGTCTGTTGCGGGTTAAAAAAAAATGTTTTTTGGAATTCATTTTGTTAATTTGAAACTCAATATTTGTATTAAAATAAGGATTATGTACCTACTGCTGTTGTTTTGCAACTGTAAGAAATGAAAATTTTCATTAGAAATATACAAAAAAAATATCCGAGATGTTCTTTTAATGAAATTTTGGGTCAAAATTTGGGCGTACCACTTGAAAATTTTGTTTGGGTTTGTTTGAGTTAACTTGATGGGCCATGGGCCTCACCAGTTTGGATTGTCACGAGCCGCCACTGATTTGATAATTTAATTAGTAAAACATGCTTTGCTAAAAAATTATCAATAGTAATATAACTAGTGCAATGGAAATTATTGATAATTTTTGGGAAATTTGCCCGAATGCATTTTTAGTTGAAAAAGAGCACGAGTGCACGTAGTACACGAGTGCCTTTTTCAGTTAAAAACGCATGAGTGCAGATTTGTCGAAAATTATAAATATATTTCCATTGCACGAGTTGTAATGTCTGCCCAGCGAATCTGTGTCTACGGGGCAACGGTGAGGGGAATGCAGTTGTAAAAAAATGGCTGATTTCATTCATAAAATACCCAGCTGCGTGCGGAACTTTTTGGAAGTGTTATCGTATTGCAACTCGTACACGAAAATTGACAATGACCAAACCTCCGCCACTGGATATTTCAATATCAATTGATATTCCAAGATGGGAGGATAAAATGACGTCAGGCCTGGCCAATAGCGAGACATAAGGTGACGTTGACTCATTGACAACCGTATGGTTTTCATGGCAACGGCGATCCTGCCAAAACTCCACCAATCAGGTTCATCCAGGCCGGATGCTTGCCAAATTGTCAAAAGCGGATAGTATATTCAGAAAATGTTTATTTTTTACAACAGATCAAATTGAAGAAATCAGGAGAAATAAGAATAGATCTAACAACCACGTTAAAATATTTAGCGTTTTATTATTGTTATCAATATTTTGTTATTAAAAAATGGATTTTCAAATGAACTATACTTCATGTCTAGTATTTTCGCTTTTTTATAATTAAACGTGGCAATATGGCGCATTTACATCCGAATTCCTGCCGTAGACTCAGATCCGCTGGGCAAACAATATTTAATGAGAGAATTTCATAAATCAAAAATTTAAATTTTTTGTCAAAAAATGTCAAAAAACCAGTTTTCACACCAGTTACTATGCAATTATCTGATAATTTGCACTAGTGCAAATTATCGCGTAATTGCAATCTGATTGGTTCAAATCAACAATCAAAACATGTCAGTCCATTGTTGAAATACCAGTTTTGTCAGATGTATGAAATTCTCTTTAGAATGGATTAAATGTACTACAAATACCGGTAAAATATTTATTGTTTGAGAGGTGGTTTGTGAATACTTTGCAGCTTTTAGCTGAACATCTAGCATCATTTTATAGAGGTGGCAGGATTTATTTTTCAGCTTCAAAAGCCTGAGTAGATCCCAACATATTGGGATTGATAATGTTGAGCTCATTCACATCCAGCTAATTTTTCCTGCAACTTAGTTCATAAATCAGCTATTTTGTTGTTTAACTGTTCTATCATCTTTTTTTTGTGCTCAATAGCCTTTTTCTGAAAATCCTGAGTTTTTAGCCACTGCCTGATATATTGGGCCTCTTGCAATTTCATATCTTTCTTCAAATGTCCTATGTCAGCCTTACAGTCAATTTCTCCTCTGCCAAAGCAGACTGGAACTTATTCAATCTCTGTCTCGAGGCTTGATTTGATTTTTAACTTAATACTTGGTTTGGACATGAAGCATCACCATCCTGCTTCTGTCTACATTTAGTAGAGCAGTACCTAATCACATCCGATTGCCACTTATCTTTAGTTCCAAATTTAAAAAAAACCTTTACCTATTATGTTAATTTGATACAAAAACTATATTTTTTTGTAGTTATATTCTGAGAGTTCCGTTTGAACAAGACGATGATCCAGATTCTGGCATTGTATATGTATGGATTGGATCAAAATCGGACCCAGAAGAGTCAAAGCTTATTCAAGATATTGCTGAAGAATTGTTCAATAGTCCTTGGGTTAGCTTGCAGGTACTTTCTGAAGGTGAGTGAATTCGGAATTTCTCTCATCTCTTAACCAAATTTTGATAATAATATGTAATACGAACAAAATATAAGTATATTTATTTAACTGAGGATTCTGTTTAAATTAGGGGAAGAGCCTGACAATTTCTTCTGGCTGGGACTTGGCGGAAAGAAACCATACGAAACTGACGCCACTTTCATGCAATTCACAAGACTGTTTAGGTGCTCAAATGAAAAGGGATATTTTGTTGTATCAGAAAAATGCTCAGATTTTTGTCAGGTAAGGTATCCCATTATCCCTAAAAGTTCATGAGGTGATTGTTTTAAATAGTGGGTTTCTGATTTGTTGGGATTTAGCATTCTAAAAAATAGCATAGTTAGAATGCAGATTTAGGAATCGTTGGATGGAGCTCAAGCAGTGTTATTGAACAGGCACTTTTTCATCAGTTGGTAATTTTACGTTTGGGGGATAGTAAATCGCCCAGTGGGACCTTACCTGTCCAGATCACAACTCCTAATAGTCTAAGATCCGGCTTCACAATAATACCCCTCATCCTTTTTACTGATGAAATATATTTTTTTGCAGTAAAATGTATAGATAAATAAATTCCGGAGTGGTTGGCAGTCCATATCCTGGCAAGGCTATTTTTAGTTAAATATTCTTTAATTATTTTTTTTGTCCCATTTACGGTCATTCTTTTCCTAAATTTTGGTATAAATTGAAAGCAAACAACATGTGGAAAATGCCACAGCATGGTTGGCTAGGCTACCTTTTTCCTGGCAAGAATACCTGACAACCAGGTGTAAACAGGTAAGTTGATATTAGTATATTACTGAGGTATATTACAATCCGAGACGGGAAATGCTTCATGCTGGCCGAGAGGTTTTATATATTATATATGAACCTCGAGACAGCAATGAAGTTTCCCGTCGAGGGTTGTATACTATTTTATTTTTAACCATAATTTCTTGAAAAAAAAATTCGGCGCAACCAAATGAGGTCGGGAAATGTGGAGGAAAATGAGGACGGGAAATATTTCCCTGTAGGAAAATGAAAAGACAGAAATGTGACATTTTCAAATTTTTCAAAAGTCAGTAATGACAACATTTCATATATGGTTAAAAATAATAGTATATTACATACCGAGGTGGAAAGTGTTTCATTACTGTCGAGAGATTTAAGTTAGAATGATCTAACTGAAATCTTGAGAGAGTAATGAAACTTTTCACCGAGGTATGTATACTATTTTATTTACAATCATTCGAATTTTGAAATTTTCATTTGGATTAAAACTAAAAAATACAATAATTAACAATTTCATTTACTTTCGACCCGTGGGCCGAAAGTAAAAGTCAAAAAAGTGACATTTTCGAACTTTTTAAAAGTCAGTAAAGTCAACATTACATGTATGATTGTAAATAAAATAATTTACCCTCATTCTTTTCCCTAAAAAAGCAAATATGTAAATATAGGTATTTTTATTGCGAAACAGGTAAGTTGATATAATAATTTACCCTCATTATTTTCCCTAAAAAATCAAATATGTAAATATAGGTATTTTTATTGCGAATTTAATGGCATATGGTTGCCTTTCCAAATCGTGGTAAGGGTAATGGTTGCCACGACTTAAAGTTTCAATAATTTTATTTGAAAGTAAATCCGGAGACTGATGCGTACGTTTTCCGTCTATCCTTTACTTTATTTTCCGGGGAATAAACGAAACAGGGAATAAAGGGGTACTTTTAATCCCGGGTAATAAAGTGAAATTTAATCCCGGGGAATAAAAGACCCACTTCACTCCCTAAAAACAGGGATTAAAAGGGTACTTTTAATCCCTAAAGTGCATAATAGTTATTTATACACCAAGTGAGTTAAATGAATTTTTATTCATGAGGAGAAAGTTTAACCCACGAGCTCTAGCGAGTGGGTTAATTAGAGCTTGTGGGTTAATTTTCTTCGAATGAATAAACATTTCAACTCACGTGATGTATACAAAATTTTATCCCATTTTGTGAAAATTTTAAAAATAAAGTTGTTTGCGTAAGAATAGGTGTTTAATAGTTATTTATGTATCAAGGGAATTATGCAGGTGTTAATACCCCAGGGCAACGTTTGTGTCCCGAGGGCCTCCGGCCCGAGGGACACCAATTGCCCGTGGGTATTAACTCCTGATAATTCCCGTGGTACATAGATAATTTTATATCCTACTGAATTTACTGTATTCTGTCTATTTTTATAAAGGAATAAGCCATAAATCAAAATTTCTATTTTTTGTCAAAGTGTTACCTATTCAAGGTAAAAGCGGGAGTTATGGAAATCCTTAACTCCCTTGGGAGTTATGATATCCTTAACTCCCTTCCTTAACTCCCTTGGGAGTTATGAAAATCCTTAACTCCCTTGGGAGTTAAGACCCTGTTTATGATTATCGTAACCAAGGTATTATATGGTTTTAATAGTTCAGTAGGATATAAAATAGTATATTATGATATAAGTGTATAAGAGGGCATTTAAAGCACGCGCGACATATTTCAAAACACGACGCGCAGCGGAGTGTTTTGTAAGTCGCAAGGGCTTTAAATGCTCTTATACACGCATATCATACGCTATTTTTTATTACGAATGCATCATAATCTCAAAAATGTTTTTGAAGTGTTCATTCATTTTGATAAGTAGTAATTTAAATGGCAGGTATGCAGGTAAATATCTAGGTAATGAAGGTAGATCGAACGTTTCTACAGGATGTATATTTTAAGTGATACCACTATTGCTATATCCGAATCGCTAAGAGCTACAAGGTCAGTTAAATTAGAAAAAAGTTGCCTTTTTTGATGCCCATTCAAGATTCGTTTACAGTGTTGCCAAGTTCTTTTTAGTTTATGAAATACAGGTTCATAACTAGGGCCGAATTAAGGTAAAATTTTGGTAAAAATCACTAATGATCACTTTTTAGAGTAGAAACGTCGGCCAATCATACTTAAGAGGTATATCATTAAAGACGGAATAGAAGGCGTTTTCTAAAAATGACATAAAAAATCCAGGTCCGTATTTAAAAAATTGAAGTTGATGATGGTAGCTCGATCATGAAACGTCGGATTTGAAATTTGAAGATGCCATGTTGTAGAGCGAAAAAAATTATAAAACTTTCAAATTGAAATGGTGTCTCGAATATCAATAGTTTTCGAAATAATTGATGAAATAATTTTGAGCGTTTTTTGGAAATCACCCTGTATTTCATAAACTAACAGGAATTTGACAACACTGTAATCAAATCTTGAATGGGCATCAAAAAAGGCAACTTTTTTCTAATTTGACCGACCTTGTAGCTCTTACCGTTTCGGATGTAGCAATAGTGGTATCACTTAAAATATACACCCTGTATAGCAAACCTTTGAAAAGGTAGACGCATCATAAACATCATTTTATGCACGCTGCAGCGTGCGATAATCGTTAATTATGATGCATGCGTAATAAAAAATATTAAATTGAGATTAATTTTACTTCGATTAGTTGAAAGTGGACTGTAATTTTATTTTAATTGACAAAAGAATGTGAATGAACGGGAACCATACAAAATCATAAAAGGACACCTACCTCGATTGATTTTCTGTCGTAGAAAAATCGTTCTTTCCTCTGGGATCCCAGGTCCTTCTAGTTCTGCAACAGCACCACGTCACGATTGGGGGTTATGCACATTGGGTTTTGAACCCTTTTTTGAGATATCGCTACTAATTTTTGGTGAATTTTGCGGATTGAAATATTTAAGTCACGCCAGTTCCGTGCTCCATTTTTTAAGAGAGCGATTCCTTGCGCACATACTTCCTTGCGCACATACTTCCTTGCGCACATACTTCCTTGCGCACCCTAGAGGTGTCATACAATAATGAAAATGTATGGTTCATGCGCAACGTAATCATTATTTCGAATAATTAAGAATTTAAACATAATAAAACTTGCATAAACAAAAGTAGAAGAAAAAATGCCGGGAGTGAGTTAAAAATATTTTAAATCACTGAGGTTTTAAGATTTTTAGTTGGGCAGAGTGACTTAAAATGCCGAGAGTGAGTTAAAATGTTTTTAAATCACTGAGGTGATAAACGTCAAAACGTCTACTTACCTTTATAAGGCAATCCAAACAAAATGGCGTTAAATGCATGGTCAATGCCAAAAAATTGGCGCCATAAATTTAATTCGAACAACCGTGACATTTTTCATCAAATAGTATATTGTTGTATTAGGAGTAGAAGCTTTACTTTACTACTGCTGAAGCACAAAAAAATGCTTCTACTCCGTATGCAACACGTTATTTTTTCTCCAAACAAATGGGGTAAGCTTGGGGGTAACTGAATGGTTAAGCGGCAGTAAAAGTACGAGCGGCACTAAAAGTACTTTTGCTGCCGCTCCAGCGGCACTAAAAGTACTTCTACTGCAGCTACGGTTGCCTAGCAGCATAGAAATTAAATTTCTACCACCTCGACAGGTGTTAACCCGCTGGATTTGCCTACCAGCATAGAAATTAAATTTCTAACATCTTGACAGGTGCTGACAAAGTGACGTTTTTTTGACGTTTGGAGAAAAAAACTGTTTTTTGTGTATTTTGTGGTGTTTTTAGATGATTTTTTAGTGTTTGGAAGGATGATTTTCGTATTTTAAGATAGGTAAACTTTGTTTCACCAGGGTTCATACTTTTGACATAATTTGCCTTCCTTTTTTAACAAATAGAGATTGACTGAAACAAATCAATGATGACAAAAACGTTTGTCGTTTCTTAAACCAGAAATCATTCATTTTAATTTGTCAAAAAAATTGAATGTCTCGGATGAATTAATCTACGACAACCCTTTTTTTCCAAGTTTCAAGATCAAGTATGAACCCTAGTGAAACGATCTGTAGGTACTATCCAGGATTTGTTTCCTATTTAGTTTTTTCTTAACCAAATCCTGAATCCTGATGTTTATTTTATTTGTCTGCTATTCAAGGTATCGACACAAGCTGATGTGGAGGATAGTAAATGGCTTGGATCCATACACCATTTATGTAGAGAGATTTTTTGGTTTTTTAATATGGATTTCGTAAGATTTTTTTTCTTTTGCTGCAATCTATGAAGCCCTCACAAAGTACAGACAAATCATTTTTCTCCGTTAAAAACCTGTGTTTTGTCTCTGCAGGAACGGCATGAAAGTAGACTTTCTCGCGATTAGAACGGCTCCCACAACTAAGTAAAATACATAACGTATGCATTTTTTACAAAATTAACACTTTACAGACTTTATAAAATCTGT